CAAGGGTTCAATTTTGTTTAACAAGTTCTTTCTTGAATTGGAGAGAGGTGATTTAATGAGCTGCATCTCTCCCTATTACAGAAGAAGTAAATTAATGTTAGGGATGGAATCTTACTATGAAAGTGCTGGGTAATTTACTTCTTCATTTAGTCAGTCTTCATGATTTTGTGCGTGCTTGGATTGGAGCTATATAAATGGACTGATGCATGAAGCTCAAGCTGTACCATATGTAAACTGCTGAAATGCCTTAATTACTTTAGTCAGAGTAATGGTGCTTAGATCTACTTCATAATGACCACAAAGTAATTTGTTCTGCAGTTGCATTTTAAGAGTTTGCTTGTATTAATTTATTTTTTTAATCTAGAAAACTTTTAGAATTCATATCTAAACCATCAATTCAAAGCTTTGCTATAATTGACTTTGCTGAAGTGGCAATGTTTTGTGCCTAAAAGGATAAAAAAAAATGTATTAGGGAACAGAATATACTAATGTGTCATATTGAGGTTAAAGAATTATCTTGTAATAAGTTGCAAAGAGCAAATTTGAAAATATGTTGGAATTGCATAGAGAAGCAGCTATGAAAGGCTTTGGATCGCTTGTATGTTCAGTAGAGCAAGTTAAGCAGCAGTGCTCTAAGGAAAAAAAACATTGCTATTCATTTGAGAGTTAAAAAGATTGTGCTGCAATCCCGATGGCACATGGTTCGAGGCCACCAGCCGCTCCACGGGAGAAGGATGGGCAGTCTCCTCCTGTAAGATTAACTGCCTCTGAAAACCCGCCAGATAGTCAGTTTCCCACTCTACAGTACACAACAACAATGCCTTGTAGAGAGTGTAATTCATGGGGAGTTGTGCAGCTGACTAATGGAGCTGCCCAGCTCTGGCAGTTCAAATCCAGCAGCAGCTCTAAGGGAAATAGACAGGCAGTCTCCTCCTTTTCCGTTTACAGCCTCACAATCCTGATGGATGTCTGCTGAGTTAGAACTGAATTGACAGCAGTGAGTGTGAGTTTCAATAACTTGTGTTGTTGCGGGGGGGTGGGGGGTTGGCATGAGTTGAAATCTACTATGACAACTGGTGGTGAGACTTGTGAATCTGTTCTTTTAAAGTCAGTAACATTTAAATGCAATATTTCTAAAATATGCATTTTTCTTAAAACTTTTATAGAACATTATATTTGACAAGAGATAAAACCAGTTAGCTTTCTGATAAAGACACTTAAAATCACCGCTATGTGCTGTTGAGTCAGTTCTGACTCATAACACTATAGAACAACTATAGAGAACAACTCTACAGGAGAGTAGAAATATTTTCTAGGGTTTCCTATGGTAATTTTTGAGGTCTAGTCAAAATGTCGTTAGATGCAGTCAAGTCGAGTACGACTCATAGTGACCCTAAGAACAACAGATCTGAACCCTGTCCTATCCTGTGCCACTCTCACACTTCCTGACACACTACAGTGCATTGTGGTAGTCACTGTATCAGTCCACGTGGTTGAGGGCTTTCCTCCCGCTCACTGACCCTCCACCCTTCCCAACATCATGTCTCTCTCCAAGGAATAGCCCCTCCTAGCAATATGCCCAAAGTAATGTGAAACGAAGCCTCTTCATCCTTGCCTCCAAAGAGCACTCAGGCTGCACCGTCTCCAAGACATATTTATATTTGTTCTTTGGGCTCTCCATGGGATGTTCAATTCTCTTCTCCAACACAACTCAAAGGCATCAGTTCTTCTGTCATCCCCATTCTTCATCGTTTAGCTCTCAGATGCATAGGAATTGATTGGAAATACCATGGCCTACTGTTGTTGTTATGTGCCCTCAAGTTGCTTGCTACTCAGCAATCCTATGTACAAGAGCCCTAAACCCTGCTCTATCCTGTACCAACCTCACTGTCTCTGACACACCTACTCCCATTACTTCAATCACTAGTCAAAATAACATTTGTATAATCATGATCAGTAAGGGGAAACCAAAACCTAAAACCAAACTCACTGCTGTAGGGCTGATTCCAACACACAGGGTAGAGTGAAACTGCCCCCTACAGTTTCCCAGGCTGTAGTCTTTATAGAAGTAGACTGCTGCATCATTTTCCCATGGAGCAGTTAAAGAAGTTTGGGTTGCTAGCCTTCTGCCTAACAGCTGCACTCTTTAGCCACAGCACTCCAGAGAGCAACCACAACTCCTTACTTTTTCTGTAATTGTGCTCAGTTATTCCCAAATTGTTGTCATTGAATTGAGTACAACTGGTAGCAACCCTCCGTTGGCCTCCACTGGGTTTGCAAGACTGTAGATCTTACAAGGAAGAATTACCCATCTTTTTCCCAAGAAGAGCTGGTGAGTTTGAACCACTGACCATTTAGTTAGCAGCCTAACACACTATTACTATGTTATTAGGCCTCCTTCAATTAATATTTGTAGGAAACATAATTGGTTTGCTTCTTAGATACATTTGAATCATGTATGAGTCATAGAAACCCTATGAACAACGGACCTGGCTCCTGCCCTCTCCTGTGCCATCCTCATCATCTCTTAGACACTTGAGCCCATGCTGCAGTCACCTTGTCAGTCCACCTCATTGGGGATCTTCCTCACTTTTGTTGATCCTCCACCTTTCCAAGTGTGACATTCTTTTCCAAGAAATTGCCTTTATAGTCCCATGTTCCGAGTATGAGAGATGGAGCTTCATCGTTCTTGCCTCCAGGGAGTACTCTGGTTGCACCTTTTCTGATGTTCTTTTGGCATTCCATGGGATATTCAGCACTGTTCTCAAACTCAAAGCATCAGTTTCTCTCCTGTCATTTTTCATTGTCCAGCTCTAAGATGCACAACAAGTAATTGAAAAGACCATACATGGCCTAAATCCAGGGCACTTTAGTCTTTAAACTGACATCATTGCTCTTCAGTTATTTTGGAAAGATTCCTGACAGCAGATTTGTCCATAGCAATATATCTCCTGATTTCCTGACTGCTGGTACCAGAGTGTTGATTGTGGATCCGAGCAAGATGAAATCATGGACATAGCAACCCTTTTTTACTTTGAGAGGAAAAAGGTAGAATGAACTGTTTAATGGAACTATGGAAGGCTATATTTCAATTCTAGTGAAATGAAATACTATTATGGTAGGTTAGAATTTGAAGGCGTTTATAGTGGTTCAGTGTGTCTCAGTAAGGTTGGCAGCTATCACAGCAAACAAAGCCAAACTCAGTGCCTTTCAGCTAATTCTGATTCATAGTGACCCTGTACAATAAAGTGGGACTTCCTTGGAAAACCCTGGGTTTTCTGAGACTGTAAGTCTTAGTGGGAACTGACTGCCTCATCTTTCTCCCACAGCTCAGCTGATCGGTTAGGGTAACAGCCCACTTCTTAGTCCACTAACAGGGCTAAGAGGGTTCCCATAGTCCTAAAGGGTAAATATTAATAACTTACATGGAGCTCATCGCTCAAAGCTGATATGAAGATTGCATCATTACTTTCACATTGAAAAAATAGAAAAAAGATGTATATCATGTCACTCAAAAAATATAGTAGAATGAAATGCATAGTGTTATTGATAAATTAATACTTTTATTTTGAAATCGTTTTCTAGCATGGGTGTTTGAAGAAATTAATACTTTTATTTTGAAATAGTTTTCTAGCATGGGTGTTTGAAGACAGATTAGTTAATCTGAAAATTCATTCCTTTCCTTAATAAAACAGTAAAATCAATCAAGAGATAGTACCAAATAATGGAGGTGTCCAAAGAGCCTTTGTTTTGTTGCCTCATTATAGAATAAGGATAGTGATCTATTACAGAATTTCTGTATTTTATGCTCCTTATTCAGAGAAGCAATTTCAGTTCATCCACAAAAGGTGACTAGATGAAGAATGGTTATGTTCTTTTCATTTTAAAAATTTTTGAGGTTTTTGATGTGGTAATTTAGAAAGTAATGCTTAATAAATGCAGAAGTTTTTCTGTGTGGTCCTTAGTGTCAGGAATAATGGAAAAATGAGGGTCTCTTAGGTGAGAGATTATAATAGAAAATAGAATCATAAAATAAATATGAATTATATTATGACAGCTAGAGCCCAAGGTATAAAAATATCAAAGAGAGACTTTGTTTTAGAGAATTGGCTTACTGTTTGTTATAAATTACAATCTAGATGTGGAATTACTGAAGTCCATTTATTTTGCTTCTTTGAAGTGAAGGTCTACTTGAGATACAAATTTATTTCATATGTGATTATGAATTATTCTGTCTCATAATGCCAAACTTAAATTTTTTAATAGACAACGTTGTGAGACCTTTCTTTTAAGCTATGCTTTTCAAAAAAGTTAGCCATTTATCATGATATTGGAAAGTAATTGTTTTTTGCCTTTTTTTTTCCATTTTAAACTTTATTTGTCACTGTAAGATTTTACAAATCCCAAGTCATAAATAGATTATGTTTTGGGGTTTTTTTTTAAATTTATTATTAATTTCAATGAAAACGTACAGAGACTTTGAATTTTCATTAATTCATTGTTGCACTTTTCTCCCCATCTACCCCTCCCCTCCATAGATTATGTTTTTAGGTAATTCTTTTTTCTTCATCCCACTTTGTAAAAATAAAAGGCCTTCTACAGTTGGGCTTCCCAGTGTTCTCCATTCTGTTGGTCTTTGGTGTGGAGCAGTGCTGCCTCCCACAGCAATTAAAAGGGAAGAAAAGAAGGTGATGTTGTATCATTTACTCCTGTTTCCCCTTTTAATCTTTTAAGGAACTGACTGGAAAACACATTTAGGGTACTGGAGAACTAAAAAAGGAGTAGAAAATATTTGCAAAAAGCATTTTCTTTTTTTTTTTTTTTTTAAAAAAAGACTGAGAATTTCATCTTTTGTGCTATTTACTGGACACCTAGTTTGACTACTTGAGTCTTTTCCACTTTGCAGTATTTTCTTGGGTTTGAGCTTTTATTGATACCTCCAGAGATACGTTATATCTTTATGCTGATCTTTTCCCTCCTTTTTTCTTCTTTCCATTCAGTTGACCCTATTAAGATACTAATGCCGTCACTGTCTCCTACAATGGAAGAAGGAAATATCGTAAAATGGCTGAAGAAGGAAGGTGAGCAAGTACATTACTCAGGTCCTGTGTGCTTTGTTATATGATTTTTATTTTTTTCCTTGATAATTATGTTAGAATTTATTACAAAAACTACATGGCATGAATGTATTTCTCTACCAGTTAATTTTAAGTTTATTTAAAGAACATTTTCCTACAGTTATGTAGCAGATGCTTTGTGGGTTGAGCCTAGATCCTTTCATAAGCAGAGAAGGGCAAGTATTTCAGGTTTGGGTCCAGGTTCAATTCCTTGTACTTGACATTTTCAGCATCATCAGTCTGTGAATTTCTCTTCAATTAATTTGAAACTTTATTATTACATGCAGGTGGTTGTTGTTGTTGTTGATGTTGATAATGTTTTCTAAAACAAGGCAAATTGATTAACAGTTTCAATAGAAAGAATAAATAGTAAAAATAACCAGAAAAAACTTCAAGAAGAAAAGTAGTGGAGGGGGCATTAAATAATAAATTATTATATCTCTAAAGTTTAAAAATAAATAAGAGGGGAGCTCTGGTGGCCTAGTGGTAAGAAACTCCACTCTAGTCCTAAAGGCATTTGGTTCAAATCCACCAGCTGCTCTGAGGGAAAAGGTTGGGTAATCTCCTCCCTTGTGATTTTTGTTTGTGAAGATTAAGCATGTAAGAAAGAAGTAGATGAGAAGTTGTCTGGTAAATCCAAGGAAACATAAGTGACGTTGTCCACAGGATGTTGCATTGCTAATCCAAAGATGGTACCTCTCTGGTGGATGGACTCCACCAGCAGCTCCTCTACATAGAATTGGGTAGGTAGTCTCCTTCTGAATGGTTTACAGTCTCAGAAACCCAAAGAAGGGTCATCTGTGAATGGCTTCTGACTCACAGGCAGTGGGGATTTTATTTAGAATAAATCCAGGAAGATTGGAAAAACAGCAAGTAGAACTAGTAATGAACAATATTGTCTCTCAAATAAAAAAGGGGGGAAATCCACAAATGTGTTAAAGTATATAAATAGAT